TTATTATATATATATATAGCTTTATTTTTATTATAAAACTTATTCAGATTATTGATATTAATTTCTTGCTTCTAGTTTTACTTTTTACAACAGTTAACATTAACAATTGCATTAATTTGTATCTATCTTGTATAACACGGGGTTATTTTGTGATGTCGTAGAAGAATAAAAATATGTTAATTCACATGGACACATATTTGTCCAAGATCCCATATATGATCCTTAGCAAATTATAAATTACGTTTCGAAAAATATAATTACAGAAATATAATACAATGTAAATTATATATTTTGTAAAAATCTAGCGTAAGGAAAGCATAATTTTTTTATTTCAATGTTCATCATGCTTAATTTCGTTTGGTAGAGAACAATCACTGGCTTACATTCGTATTATTAACGATTTTAGAGCTTATTTATATTATCATTGAGATAAATATGAAAATTTTTCGAGTACCGTAAAAAGATATTTAACACATAATCGGCTTTCAGCTTTATCCTTTATGCTATTGATAGTATAAAGTTGTGTGAATTTTATACAATTAACTTTTATATGCATTTTCGGTATCAAAATAAATCCAATTTACATATTAATCATAGAATGATATAAATAAAGCAATTGTATAATCAGCTTATCACGCATAGAATTTTAAAAATATCCTGCTAAATTCTACTCTTTCGTTTGCGTGAAACAATATAAACAAAAATTTAATCATTATATTAGATATATTTATATTATACTTATTTACTATCTTATGAAAATTTAATTCTAATTGTGTGTGTAACCAAAGGTGAAATCAATTCATTATTCGATAACCAATTCGATTAAAGTACACGCTTGAGAGACTAGAATTGCTACCAATTAATTCGAAAACTCCAAACTGACACTTCCTCCGGCGGAAGTAACCGATGCATTTGTTCAACTTCCACAATGGGGAATACGACATATGAATGTAATTTCACTCGCCTCTATAACACGCCCACTCTGTTTCATCGTGATAATTAGCACGGTGACGCGGCCACTTTCACGCGGCGTTTTATGTTTATTCCGCGACCTTGTCTGTTTACGGTGTCTCCGAAGCGACACTACACTTTTAGCTTAATTGTACCTTTTTAAGCGCTCTCCCGCGAGTTGTTCCCGCGCGGCGGTCGTTAAAGCGTAGGACAATTTATCGTTAGATTGCCTTAAAAAGACAAACGCGCGGACATCACATCTATCAATGTAAATATATTTCTCAATGTGTTACAATTTCGAGATGCGACATATACTTTGTCATTTTTTTTTATTGATAATCCTTTAATCATTCTATTTTAACGAAGCATGAGAGATAATTCGGCACACTATCTTTTAACATATGAGGGGATTTTTCGAACAATTTATAAATTTATTTTTTTCATTTTTGATTTTTTTTTTTTGTAAATTTATTTTTTTTTGTTTTAAATACCGAAGCAATAGTTTCTCACGATTAAAGATTGAAGATTTTTCGCAAGCTAAGCTTCTCGGAGGCGCGGTTATTATTTAATAAAGTTTTATTGTCTTAAGCTTGAATCATAATTCAGAATTTCGAAACCATAGTATTCCGCAGATTTTATTAATAAGATATTTCCCATTCTCTATATCAAGTAATCATTAAAATTATGTTTCTCGAAAAGCTCGTATATCTCGCTCGTATTCGGTTCATCCGTCCGACAATTTGTCGATGCGTGGACGTAATTTGTACGAGATGCCAGGTGTCGACAGCGGCACAAGGGTAAGCGTGACGCACGTCCTGAATTCGCATCCCCGCGCCGACGCCAGGTCGGCGACGTCGTCGTCAACGACGACGACGACGATCGAAATAGGTCATGTCCTCCATCGTCGGGCCATAATCTCTCGGGTCGTATTAAAACGTTCCGTAATACACGTGCGCACGCGTGTGTATACGTATGCGCGGACGGATGGTGCACATGGTTAATGTAACAAAACGAAGTTGAAAGAGAGGAAGAGAGAGATACTAATGCTATAATTAGTCGTCCTTGCTCGCCGACAGATCCGAGGCTCGCCTCCATTCATAGAACACCGCTTTTCCAACGTCGTCTCTCCTCCAACGTGACGTTTCATTTCTCCTCGGGGGGTAATCCCGTTCGCGATTAGCAGGAAAGAGAGAACGCGATCTTTCTCGAATGTCTAAACTCGGGCGCTATATTAAGATATTTTCTACAATTTGCGAATGGAAGAAAAAATAAAATAATTTATCGATTTTTACGTTTAAAAATGTTTTGGCTACAATAGTAACAAAAAGCTGTCAAAATTTAAAAAAAAAAAAAAACATTTCTTACGTTTATATTATTTGAAAAATCAAATAAATAAATCCGGATTATAAAAAAAGTTAAAGTATCACAAAATAATATGGTTTTTGACACACACATCTTCATAAAAGAAAATAGTAATGTAATTAATATTTTTTCTAATTTATGATAAAAACTTTTTATCGTGGATACCTTGAAATTAACTGTAAGAAACAAGAAAAAAAGTAATTTGCAGAAAGAGAAAGAGAGACAGATAATATTTTTTTACAACTTTTAAACGAGTAAGTGGATTTAAATCAAGTTTTGCATAAATATTTATTAGTTTTCTTAATAGATGTGAAAATTTTTATGTCGTTGGCAATGTTTTTTCCTTGTCAAATTTGTCAATAAGTGCTACAATACGCGATTTTCAATAAAAATCAATACCTAATTTTAAACTTAAATCATTTCCAAACCATTAAGAGAATTGTGCTCACGTTTTGCACATATGTTCAAAAGAATAGTAGAACAATCTACGAAATTTTCATGCTTTTGTCAATATTTCGACATATGACACATACATCCTTAATCATATGTACATAATTTTCGACGCGGCGCAAATATTTTTTTTTTCCGATGAAAGATAAAGATTGATTCGTCTATAAAGGAAATAAATTTCTCTTGGAATTATTAATCGATATCGAGACATAGTGAATATTCTGTTACAAGGAAAAAAGAAACCCAAACTACTAGAATCTTAGATTAAACAAAGTTGTTATACGTACAAGAGAAATATCCACGTATTAAAACAATATAATAAAATTTGAAGGAATTTAGTTCAATTATGAGATACGTGCGCACAAATTTCGGCGTAACGACGCGCTACTTATTAAACTATTCAGCTCGAGATTCTTACATAACCGATCGATAATTCTATCTCGTCAGAAAGATTTTCACTTCCGGCGTTTCGGATTTCTCGTATATCTCCGAACAATTTCTCCGAACAAAAACCCCCGCGTATCTCGGTTATATTATCCTTTTGTAAAAGCACGCGAGATGATATAACGCCGAGATAAAGAAAGGTTTCCCAAGCACATTTATGGGAAACAGAGCTCGGAGGTGGTCTCGATATGTCACCGGGAAGACCTTTGAAGGTTGAGAAACTTCATGTAAAGACCAAGTCGCGCAGAACCTGTATTACAGGGCGAGGCCCGTAAAGCGTGATAGATTAATTTTTCTCGAGGTATGTATATTGATTTCAGGAAAAGAAAGATGATTCAAGTAAAAGTTATAGGAATATTGACAGTAATGTTTATAAATGACCCTCCCTCGTAACGGTTTTTTTAATATAAATAAATGATAACTCGGAGAAACAGCTTACGTCATTTCCGAGAAATGTCAATGACGAGAGCATTTTCTCTTCAATTATGAATCAAAGTTCTTCAATTATCCGATATCCTCTTCGAGTCTTAATTATTGTACCAGTCATTCAATTAAATGTCGAACGCGAATAGGAAAAGTTAATAATACATTTAATTATACAATCTCTCATAAGAGAGTGTAAGGCTCTTTGTCCTTTCAATGTCCAATTATCTTTTACAAGCAAAATTAAAATTAAAAGTAATAAATTTTAAACAAACTTTTTAAAATTGCGGCGATGTAACAATTTGGAAGCCAGAATTGTATCTAACAAAAAAAAAAAAAAAAAAAAAAAAAAAAAAAAAAAAAAAGGTCAACGAGAGACTGGGTAAACCCTGATTTTTCACGAAATAATAAATGCATACAATAAAAGGCGAATATTCTCCACTTATCTATGTAAATTCCCAATTAATTCGTTTTAATTCACTTGCTTTTCAGCCGAAGCGTAGAAGCACGTAATAGATTGATCGATAACAATGACGTAAAATAGCCTCTGCGAATTGTAGTTTATGGCAGCCTTTAAGCAGCCGATGTTGACGTTGTCAATATTAACAGAACGTTACGCTCCGCGGGGGGTCACACCTGGTTCCAGGAACGCGTCACACATTGTGCTGTGCGATTGATTATCAGCAAAGTTCAGCCGTCAAAGGCGTCTAATTTCAACCTTAACCCTTTTCCGCCCACGTCGACGTATGAGTTTTCCGTCCGCTCCCCCCCGCACCACACCTTTCCCCGCAACGGCGTCCCTCTCGCGTAAGATCCCGTCCAGATGCAATTACGCAATGTGCAGTAAAAATACATCCATGGAAAATGTCAGTGGAACGGCTGGAATTACGTTTCAAGGATGCTGCGTCCGTTCAAAAGGTTCTGCATGCTCGCGTGAACCTCTCTGACACGCGTAATCAGTCTCCCCCTTTATCCCTCCGGATGACATTGTCCCCGTTAAAAACTACGTTTATCGGCGTTTTATCGAACGGCATTCTATTCAGGATATTTCCGCTCTGACATTTCCGATCATAGCATGTAAATGTCGTCGCGATTTTAACGAGATTTTATAAGCGTAAATCAACTCGATTTGATCTGATCTATCTGAATCCGCGCAAAGGCTAGATTTACTCCAAATTGCCGACAACGGAATATCTCGATTAAAGTTAAGGTCGAGAAAATTCTAGGATATCTTATCTAACGACAGCGCGCGTTAATGAGAAAGAGAGAGAGAGAGGGAGAGGGAGAAAGAGAGAGCGAAAGAAAAAACCAATTAATCATTTCCGTATCTCGAGAGCAATTTATCGGAAAAGATGTTTGAAATCTAGAAACAGCTGATATAATGATGTCAGAGATTTTCTATTTATCGTTACTGAATGGATTAAAAAGAGGAGGAAGCCAAATGCGAGAGAGCAAAGTCGACTATGGGTCGACGCGCGATGACGCTTAATCGGCTCGATCTTGGGCAACTTTAAGAGACAATTTAAGTCCGTCCGATAAACGTGGGCCGGTGCCGCGAG